CCACTCCTATTTTTAAAAAGTAACTAGCACTGAGAAATATCCAACTCTATAAGAGTAATAGGAAACTGGATTATATTAAAAACTAGGCCACTAAAGAAAAAGCTCAAATAATTCCTTAATAACCCTGTGCACAATTTACTGTTCCCATATTTTTCCCCGCTATTACCTTCTTCATCATTTTAGACACTGTCTACCCACTGTAGGATGAAGGCCTCTTTCCTCATGTTTCCAACCTATACGAGAATGTTATTTTCAAGAAAACAATCCAAATTTATGAATATTAAATTATGCACTTCACATGTGCAGTATCTTACACAAGGATGAGGAGCTTTTATTTTTAAGTAGACAGCTAGATTCTCAGAGCCTCTACATTGAAGTTAAGTAGCTAAAGTTAAAATCAAACGTTGGGAGAACCAGAACTAGCAATGAAGTACATCTCCTCTTCTGCTACCTCCTTTACTATTTCTGCTCCAGAAAATCCTATTCTTCTACCATGAGAATGAGCATTTTGATTGGATAAAATTAACACCTAAATGGATTGGAACTATTCGTTTCCAAGGGTGAACTAGGCTGCACTCTAGATCAAAACTGCCACATATGAGAAATCCTATCCTTATAGCAACCTGTTACCTCACTCAGAAGTGCGAAGTATTTCTGAAGTTTTTCATATCTACTGTTTCCAATGTTTCTCTATCAGTAACACAAAAAGGAAAAAAAAACATGCCACTGTCCTCACTGATGGTATCCTTGTTTATTTCTTGTACTATGACTGTAGATGTATACTTGTCCACCCTCAGCCACAGAAACTGTCTCAGGTCCACCTACTTTTCTGTTGCGTTGACAGTCTGGCATGTCATGGATGCTGCATTGAATCACCCAAGAAAAGACAGGATATAAATCTAATAATGACTATGAGTGCAAGTCTCTCTGAAGTCTTTCAAAGTAAATATGCAATTTCTGCTATTAAGGAATGGCAATAAGATGTGTGTGGGTGTGTGTTTATTTTATTCTTTATATTTTCACAAGTATGTATTCTATTAATACTGCTAATTCAAAAAGTTAATCCAAACCAATGTATCAAGTAGGAAGATGTATCTGGACTATTTACCTGTCACTGATAAGCAAGAGGAGGTCAAACAACATTTCTTTTTCTGAAAATCCCATGCAAACTGGATTTAAAAGTAGTGCAGAAGACATCATACAATTTCTGGCATCTTCCTATTATTTTTAAAAAAAACAAATTTGCTATCTGCTGCAAAAAAAAAATCTCAAAAAGAAATATAAATCTTGACCAGATTTTCAATAAGAACTATAGCACTACTCTCCTGACTACCTGAAGCTCTCTTTTACCGCTACTGAAAACAGCATTCATAATAATGAATTATAATGAAGGGAAATATCTTAATACAAATATGGCTACTGAAAAACTATGGCCTCGACATGAAGAGTCCTCTTCTAAGCCTTGAATTCTAACTCAACACAGGTGAAGCAACCATAACTGTAAAATTGGCATCTTTAACAAGAATATCATTGTTTTGTGTAGAAAAAGTTACCGAAATTTTGTTGCTCCTAGCTGGGAAAAAAGCAAATGCGATCAATAGTGATTGAATTTCTAATGGAAAATATTGAAACTAAAGTAATATCCATATTTTAATCAAAACGGATATTACACCAGCAGCTTTAAGATTTGTTGGAGAAAGCTACTCCAGAGGGCACATTCAAGCAACTAATCTCTTTATGATGGTAATGAGATTCAGCAGATCTGTACCGTCCCACTTCCCCTGATGGGAAACACCCAACCGTTTAACTGGTGGGGCAGCGAGTTTAAAAGGGAAAGGAAATGGGGGCATGTGAAGATCGTTTGCATGGGACCACTACTTAAGTGCTGCAAATGCAAACCCCATTGGGGAGCAAGGTGGGGGAAACAGCTCGAGGACTCAACGCCAACCTGATTACCGAACAAAAGGCTGCTCAAGCACCTCCGTTTCTGACTGGCCTAAGCCAACGGCAGCATGCCAAGCCTCCAGTTTCCTGCCAGCGAAACGAGGGCCTCCCTTTCGACTTCGCCTTTCTCCGACCCCCCTCGCTTCGCTCCTGCGTAGTCTTTTCCCCTCCCCTCCCCTTCTGCGCGCCTTTTCCTTCCCTTCCCGCCTTTCTTCGCAAGGCTATTCGCTCGCCTGATCGAGGGCAACAGCGGAGCGTGCGCAACACGCGCGTGGGGCTAAGGGCGCATCCCCTGCCTGTCTCGCCCTTTCTTTGCAGGGCTGGAAAACTCCCCGGCGCTGCCTCCGTCAAGGGTGGCCTCCCCCTCTCTCATATCTCACGCGCCCGCCCACCGTGGGTTTTATTGTCTCCACACAGGCCTGGAGAGAGAGAGAGAGAGAGAGAGAAGGTGGGAGGAGCGCTATTTCCGGAGCGTTAAGTTCTTCTCTCAGCCGAGGTTTCCCAAATTCGTTAGGACTCTCCTTATTTAAGACATGGCCGAGGGGAATAAAGGTTGCAGCCCAGTTAAAGGAGCCCCCGGCGAAGGTTTAGAGAAGGCTTTAAGGACCAGCGCCGGGAAGACAAAGCGGCGGGTGGCGTAGAGAGGACGGCGACCCCCGCCTGGAGCCGGCCTTTCTCACGGCGGTGGGAGGGAAAGAGGCGGGCCCCACGCACAAGGAAGGCGCGCGCGCGCAGCGAGAACCAACAGGACCGTTCAAGTCAACAAATTGTTCCTTTCCCGTCGTGGGAGGAGCCGCTGCTGCCGCCGCCGCCGCCTCGAGCAAGGCGAGGACCTCAGTTCCTTTCTCTCGCCACCCGCCCACATTCTCTCGTCGCCGCAACACCCATCAAGTTTTCGGGCTGCCGCTCTGCGGCTAACCCCCTCGCCAATCCGCGCCTTCGGGGTCTTCCACCCCCGCCTTAAAAGGAAGGAGGGGGAGGGGAGGCGTGGCGGCTTTGTCAGGCAGACGCCAGCTGGTGGGGTGGCCTTCGGAGGGGAGGACTGCACAAGGGCGGGGGATGCTTCAACTGTCTCCCGGCAGCTCCCGATTCTCGTAGCAGCCGTAGAAGAAAGCCAATGAACCGCGAACCTGCTGCTCTTCTCCTTTACAAATGAGCACGTGCTTTATGTGGCCTTGCGCAAGAGGAGGTCCGAACCTCCGATCAATTCGGCCGAGCGTTTGCAATCCTATAGCGACATGATCCGAGGAGTAGGCAAGTCCCGTTGGTTACTCTCGAGTGATTGTGTTTCTGCTTGCATGCTTGAAGATGAGGGTCGGATACAGGTTTTAATAATTTTGGTAAGTAAGACGCAGGATAAGTCTTTCACGCCGCAATCCCTCCTCGTCCAGTTATGCACATTTAAAAGAGTCGAGTAAACAAGCCTGAAAGTGCGGCTGCCAACTAAACAAACAACGCCTCCCTTCACCAAACTGGTGCTTGCGGCCCGGTAAGACGCCTCCAGCGTACACAATCTCTGTACATTGCAAGCGCAAGATTTCAAAATCTTTTCTTCCCAACTATGCTATCCTTATTCGACTCTACAACTGGAAAATAGCATTAACAAGAACAGATCCGTTAACACAGCCTAGCCTCAAATTCGCCCTCCGCCCGGCCTCTACACCTAAGATTTTACTCTTGTACATGTTTCTTGGGAGTCCATCTCAGTGAACATCGTAGGGCTTAACTCCGAGTACAGCGGACTTGCGCAGGGGTAACGGTATTAACCTTCCTGCCCGATATGGCCTCGTAGTAGGTTAATACCGCTAACCTTGCGCAAGTACTCTGACAGATTTATTCCCAAGAAACATGTACAAAAGCAAACTCCTAGATTTGAAGGGCGGGTGGGGAAAGGAGGCTAACCGATTTAGCCAGAGCAGCTAGCACGAAACGATTCTTCTTGAAAGGTAATTCAATAAAAGCTTAACCAGGGTGCACTTCTGTTTTCCCACAAGCTCGTTAGCCCCTGATGTTACCCGCAGCCCGCCCTCTATAATGAGCGCGTTTTAGCGGCGAGTCTTGGGAAGCGCCACTGGCGGCTCGGAGTCATTACGCCACCAACTGACGAACTGCCGCCCCTTTGCTCTTCCCTTCCGAGGCTTTTAAAACAGCGCTCTCCAACCTTGGCAACTTTAAGCCTGGCGGACTTCAACTCCCAGAATTCCCCAGAAGTTTTGCTGGCTGGGGAATTCTGGGGGTTGAAGTCCTCCAGGCTTAAAGTTGCCAAGGTTGGAGAGCGCTGTTTTAAAAGACCAAGAAAACTTTCGCCTTTCGTTTTTGTTTTGTAATCCAGCCGAGGTGGCTGCTGAGTGGCTGCTGGCTGCTTCCCCACCCACACTCTCACGCGCTGCCGGTCGAGGAAGAGCCTGCCCAACTTTTCTTCCGAGAGCTGACACTCCCGCTCGGCAGAGCCAGCCCACAAGTTCGCCCTCCGCGGGATTTAAAGAGGCAACGAGTCTCTCCCCTCCTCACTTCCTCCCCCCGCCTTCGTTCTTCTAAACGCGTACCCACGCGCGCCTGTGTCCCTTTCCTTGCCTTTCTCCGGCTTCCCTCAACCGCTTTAGACCGTCCGAAGACGCCCCGAACCCTCCCAAGCTCGGACCCTGGAGGCGGCTCTTCCCAAATGCGAATCACCAAGCAAGCGCCCCTCTCTATATTGTCCGGTAGTCTTAAGGAACGAGGAGTTGGGAAGGCAGGCGACTCGGCGTGTCGCAGTGTTTCAGAAACCGGTCAGGAGTGGGCAGAAAGGGAGCGCGGTTGGCTGAGCCGGCCGCCTCCGCCATGCGGAGCTTTCAAGTCTTCTTCAAACGGTCCGTGTTGCTTCCTGGATTCCCTTATTAGTTATAGGACCAAAGTTTCCTCTCCCCGCCCATTCCCCGGTTTCAGCCAAGCATCCCTCGCTCGCTCCCCTCCCAAACTCCTACATCCGTTCAGGCGAGAAGCGAGCGCTAAGTGAGCGAGCGCCTGCCCACAAGGGCTCCGCAGCCGCCCCCAGCCCCCCTCGCCCGCCCCCTTACCATGATCAGTGTGTGATTCCTCTGCTCGGCTGTAGCAGGCTCGGCATCTTGTGGCTGTTTGCTCGAATGTGCTTGCTTGCTGCCACCGCCGGCGCTCGATTTCTTGGCCCTTTGCTCCAGGGTCCTCTGGTAAAGGCTCACCGTGTCCCTTCGCTCCAGCTCCAGCTGCTCGGCCTGGGCTTGCTGGTACCTGTTCTCGCAGCTGACGTGATGTCTCCGGCAGCCTTCGATGCGCTGCCTGAGCCTTTCCACCACGGTGCTGTGTTTGGGAATGCCGCCGCTCCCGTTAGCACCGCCGCCGCCGCTATGAGTAGCATTGTGACCGGGAGGAGGCCCGTGGGGAGCGCTGTTCACGCCGATCCCGGCCCCGCCGAGGCTGCTGCTCAGGTTATTGTTGAGGCAAATGCTGCTGCCGTTGGTGGCGGCAGCGGGGGTTGGAAAATCCCCCATCCCCTTCCCTGCGCACACTATTTTGGAAGAACTTTTTCCTCCTCTCCTTTTACACGCGGGCGCCACACAGCAGGCAGAAAGGCCGAAGGAGGGGGAATCCTCCTTTTGGGATACTCTTTAGTGGGCCATGGAAACGCTAACAGACCCGAGCAAAAATGTTGGGGGCTTGTAAACAACGAAACAGCAAAAGCTGTTTCTTGCCGATCCCCTCGGATGGGAGGGAAGGAGGAGTAAAAAAAAACAAAAAACGCCAAAAGCAGAAAGCCCAAACCCGGAGGTGGTGCTGTAAGGTTATCGCCAGCCACAATCAACAAACAAGGCAGCCGCCGCCGCTCGCTTACAAACTCCAAGGAGGAGAGCTCAGAGCTGCTTCCCTTTGGAAGAATCTATCCTTTCCGAAAGAAATTCCGGACCGAAAACCTTCTAGGTCTCCCCCATGTATTAAAACATAAAAGCGGGAGGAGGGAAGACGTCCCCAAAAGCCTTGTGTAGAGAGAGTCTTTCCGCACTCGCACTCCACACGTTCACAAAATGCCTAGGACGGGCACCCACTGGTCAAGGAACACACATGTACGACCCACAACGCATTCACACCTCACACCAGCCGAAGACAGGCAACGCCGCTTGCTTAATTGTGTTTTCTTTCCGGGGGGAGGGGGAAGAAAAGGGAGGGAAAAAAAGTTTGGGTGTTTATGCCGCACCGTGTTCTCAAAGTACTTTGGCTGCTCAGTTGTATTTTTCAACAGGAACCTAAAAAAGCAAATCCTCCGGCTGGGGGAAATCAACACGTGAACAATCCGGGGCGATCTGCAAAGGTAGCCGGCTGAAGGGCTGGCAGAGCGTCCGCGGCGCTGCTACACGCAGAGGGACCCGCTCGGGCTCCGCTCTGCCCGCTGCTTCTCCTCTGCCATCACCACCACAGGGATCAAGTGCGTTACTCTTCCACCTCGTCCGCCTCCTCCTCGTCCATGCCAGCGGAGTGATACCAGGACAAGAGCGCTCAATAAACACAGCCGCAGCAGCTCCAGCTCGTCCAGGCCGTGAGGCAGTCCCGGGGACAAGGTGCAAAATCCGGCCCGGACCTTTAGCCAGCAGGAACGGACACGACGATCCCCACCTAATTCCCCCTCCGGCGCCTACTCACGCTGTTTGTTACCTTGGGCGGAAAATCAGCTCTGCCAGGACGCAACAAAAAAGGATCCGGAGGGAAGCTGGCGAGGCAGTCAACTTTTGACCTGGTCGCGTGTGATATGTGTGTGTGTAATATGCGTGCTTGTTTGTGTCCGGTTTCCTTATTGAGCTTCAGTGCAAGCCGAGGCTATGTATCATGTTAGCCTAAAATTCTTGCGTATTACATTGTCAGAATCTGTGCATAGCTCCGCCAAAAGGGAGCAGCCTCTTCGCCTGCCTTGTCTGATAACCTTTTCCACATGGAAAAGTAAAGACGGAGCGGAGGAAAAAAAAAAAGAGGCTGGCTTTAACATAAACCCTGATAAGCCTCCCTTCTCCCCCACCCCATTTGAAAATATTCGTTGTGAAGTGATTTGTGCTTGTAGTCTTACTCCCTCACTTGAGAGTAAATACAAACATGTTTTCAGACAAACTTATTTTCAAGTTGGTTTAAAGATAATCCCTGTAGCTTAACTCCAATATTATGTGCATTGTTTGGATTTTCTGTTGACATTCTTATGTTGTCAATTCAATGGGCTCAACTTTATCTTTTTTAAAAAGATTAGCGTGCCAAAGGCTGCCCCCCACTTTTTTTTCTATAGAAGAACTCTGAAGAGGTTCAACAGAAAAAAATTAAAATAACAATTTCTGTGTTGTTTACTGCCTTGTAATATATGTAACAAGAAAAGGCAGATTAATGATCAAAGGAACTTACAAAGAAATCAGGGTAAAAATAAATTTAAACATATACTACTTGCCCTTCCCCATATATATAATTAAAAACAAGAGTAAACATTTACTATGAATTAAGGTATAGTAGTGTATTACAATTTAAAAAGTCACATTTACCCTTTGTAGCCATATTTATTGTTTACTCAAACTACAAAATAATTCAAATGAGAACCTGTGAGTAACAACCAGAAGTATTTCTGAACTTTCTATTTTTAAAAAGAAAGGTAAATGTTTATTGGATGAAAATTGCATTTTTCCAATATAGGATTGCTAACAAGTGAGAATTGTGTAATCTTTATCTTATTTTGTATATAGGCATAGTTAATACTAACATTGCCTTTAAATAAAAGTTTCAGCCTAAATAGATTTCAACAGGCTGCAATTCTATATTGTACTTGAAAGTATTTCTTCTCCATTTTTATGGGACTTACATTTCAGTTATATGTTCATTGTTTCTCAAACTTTTTGCAGTTGAGAATATTTAGAAAATGCTGGGACCACTCAAATACATGCTGTACACTTGTTTTCATGCTAAAGAACATGGGAATTCATATTCTTTTATGAATGAGGTAAGGATTATGGTATCATTTGTGGATTATCTCCACCCTGAAAGACTTTAAAATTAAGTTTAATATAAAAAATTAATTCAGAATTAAATATTTATTTGCCACTTGAATGTATGTCTCATAACTTGCTAATAAAGAATGTCTTTGACAGAAATCTAATGGCAACTAGGAGCAAGTTGGAATTTTCAGCCCAACAAAATCATGCTTTTATACTGTATATTCTTTAATGTATTTCCTATTTGTATATTGGGGAATGTCTTCCTTGTGGAAGATCACAGTTCGACTTAGTACAACACATGAAGACTCATAGTAACTGCTTTTGAGAGGTGCTTTGATTAGTTTTCTGAACATTAATATTTATTACATTTATATATGCTGTTACAATGCCACAGGAGTCTTGCCAGCTCTGCAGGAATATAAAAAATATTAAGACATCCATGGTCCAGTTAAAAATCATACAAACATGCAAATCATAACATCCAAAAAACAAAGTCTCAAATGCATTGTGGAAGAGCTCCATCTTATTTCCATAAGACAGCCAAAGTCTGGGCTAAATTCGCTTCTAGTGGAAGGCCTTCCAGAGGCTAGCACTGGTACAGAAAAGCAGTGCTTCTGTTGTCCAATTCCCCACATCTTCCTAAGTGGACAACCACCTCTTCTGTTTGTCCCAGCAAGAAAGTAACTTGATTCCAGGCCGTAAAGGGCTTTGCAGGTTAACACCAGCACTGTAAATTGTAGCTGAGAGCCAATGTAAACCCTGTAGAAAAGGGGTGTCAAACTGGATTTCTTTGAGGACCGGATCAGCAGTGTAGTTCTCTCTTAAGCCGGGGGTGGGGGGGGATGCTTCCTGCACTACCCTGCCAGCCAAAACAGGCTATGGGGGGGGGCACGTTTTTGGTCTGGATGACCCCATTTTGGCTGGCAGGGTGCTGCAGGCGGCCATCCAGGTTGAAATTGGGTCATGAGGGTGCCACCCTCATGCTAGAGGCACCATGGGTTGGTCCTTTGCTATTTCCAGGTTAACCCCACAGGCCAGATTTAAGCACCCGGTGGGCAAGATCTGGCCCATGGGCCTTGAGTTTGACACCCCTGCTGTAGAACAAGAGTAATGTGCTACCATAGGTGAGTGCCAGATAATAATTAGGCTGCTGTGCTTTGGAACAATAGAAACTTCTGGGTTCCATGTAGAGTAGGTTGCAGTAATTTAGATAGGAGCAGCATAACTATTGTAATTAACCACATTACTAGTTGTCAGTCTCAAACTTTTGCCCCGCTATTATAGGAGAGTTGGTTGCCCAACAGCCATACATTTCCTTCCTCTTTCTCCCCTGATGTTTCCTTGCTTCAGATTATATTGGCAAATTAAAATCTAGTTGGAGTGGTTCAGTTCATTTAGCAGTACATAAAATGCTTGAGATGAGAAGGCATTTTTCAATATGTTTTATTTAACATTATTTTGAACTTGTGAGATATTGACATGGGATGTGGAAACCCAAGTGGAATCTTGAAATTATATAATAATATCAACCTACTCATTTAATGCTAATGTGCCCTGACTTGGTGGATGTTTTCCTCTGGGCTGGAGACATTTGGAAGGCTGCAACAGTGTCAAAAGCGAAAAAAGTCAAGTTGGCTAGAGCATCCAGCATCCATAAATCAAAACAATACAATTTGACAGGGATACAATCAAATCTGGGATTGGCATTGTAGGTAACCAATTTTAATATACAACTAGCAATTTTATTATATCATTTTTGTGCTGAGACAAGGAAGGATTGATGGCACATTTACTCAATGGTAGAGAAATTGGTGATATTTCTGTCCTGTATGTAAAAGTTAAAACCTTCATGAAGCTTAGTGATATCATGGACACATCCATGTAATTTTCATGGCAGCAGTGCAGAAGTCGTTTGACTTCCAGAATGTGTTTTCAGCTTCTCATTCAAGTGTACAGTCCTAGCATGTTTCAGTGGTCTCCCAAATACTTGGAATTACTATAGGAGATGGGCAGCTCAACAAATATGATAAATAAAACAAATGTACATTAAGTATTAATGAGGTCTCATACCCTCCCTTTTTTTCTTTTAAGATCAGTTAAGGGCATTTTGTGTATAGTTAATTCTATGTTGGCATTATAAAGATTTGATTTTTGGCAAATATGAATTATTATTAGTTTATAATAGTCTTCCCCTATATGCCATATTCCAGATTACTTAAAACTTGAAATGCAGAATTCTCAGCAGACTTGAGAAAATTCTGTATATATGGTTCTAAAATTAAGGATGCAGCAATATATCACACTACTAACTAGAGCATACAAAACATTTGCTAGACCAATACTTGAATACAGGTCATCAGTCTGGAACCCGCATTGCATATCTGATATTAATACAGTTGAGAAAGTCCAGAAATATTTCACAAGATGAGTTCCCCACTCCTCTACTCATTGCAGAATACTTTATGCCACCAGACTTGAAATTCTAGACCTAGAAAACCTAGAACTACACTGTCTTCAGTCCGATCTAAGTATAGTACATAAAATTATATATTGCAATGTCCTACCTGTCAATGAATACTTCAGCTTCAACCATAACAATACAAGAGCACACAGTAGATACAAACTCAAGGTTAACTGCACCAAACTTGATTGCAGGAAATACGACTTCAGCAACAGAGTGGTCAACGTCTGGAATACTCTACCTGACTCTGTGGTTTCTTCCCCAAACCCCAAAAACTTTAACCTTAGACTGTCTACTATTGACCTCACCCCTTTCCTAAGAGGTCTGTAGGGGGCATACATAAGCGCACCAATGTGCCTACCGTCCCTGTCCTATTATTTCTTTTTATTTTTCTTATATGTATCCATTTCATGTATTCATAATTAAGTTTATACTTATACCTGTTATCTTATAATTGCTTGACAAAATAAATAAATAAAAATAAAATAAATTAGCTACATTTATTTTTCTTTTTTACAATCAATTTTCCTAAATGACTATTAGAAGGCATAAAAAAATATTTAAAATACATTGTAGCTTTAGATTTCTTCTACAAGACTAGTAGTGAATATGCTAGCAGGGAGAATTGATGCAGTGGTGGGCTGCAACTGGTTTAACAACTGGTTCTGTGAGTGCATGCTTCGTTCAAAATACAGCAATTTGAAGCTGAAATGCTTACCTTCTAGGGCAGCCCCGGTAAGTAGATATGGTGAGGTGCAGAAATCAGCTATGCTGCGCAAATCAACTGAGCCAGAAAGGAGGAAATAAAGGACAGGATAGGGCGGGGCTAGCTGATGGTCGGAACTACCGGTTCGTTAGAACTGGTCCAAACCAGCAGCATCTCTCCACTGAATTGATGGTGTATAACAATAAAATGAAAGTAATTGACCAGTAGAAATTGTAAAATCAGGTACTCTCGAATATGGTCTCTATGCAATGATTGATAAGTTTGGAATCATATTCCATTCAGTAATTTAGTCCTTTGTGGTTTCCTGCTCATACAGTCTTTTAAAAGTCAGCCATAGAAGTAATCCAAGTTCCTAGCATTTTGTTTTGTTTCCCTGAGAAAACCTACTTTATGTAGTTACTCCTCTATATCCCCCTCTGTAATTCAAAAATATTCAGAAATTACATCAAAGCCTAGTATGAAGATTTTTATTGCACCTTTAATTGAATGACTTTAATATTTTTGAACAAAATTACAGCTACGGTAAGTAGGCCAGAGAGCTGGTGCAAATGAGTTTCACTTAGCCTTTCAGTAATATTGTGTGCACTTAATGTTTGATTTCACTTACAATGTCTGATCAAAATATGATTCATTAGCTCTATATTTTCATATTCTGTTTAAAGGGAAATAGAGAAACAGGTATCACTAAACTGTTTAAAATCAAACGGCTGTTTTTCTGACATGGGTGGAAGATTCCTGCATTTAAAAAATTATTCAAGAGAGCCTAATGAGCATTAAAACACATGTACAGAACTGCCTTATACTATAGATTAGGAGACAGTTTATTTGATCGCACTTGCTGCATTAAATTTTCTATTGCCCAGTTGCCAAAGTTCACAGAAAGAGAAATCACAATCACAATGCACACAAATGTGAAAGCTGAACATAAATTAAAATCTAAGACTTGGGGAAAAGCTTTCAGTGGCCAAAGGTCACAAGGACACAGCAATCAGGCCAAATGGGCAGGGCTGTGTCATGGATTCAGCTAGTTGTTTCTAGGAACTGAAGTTAAATACATAGAAGACTTCATTTTTCTAATTCTCTAGTTACTCTGACAAATTTTATAGTTTTCATGAAAATCCACTTCCAAATGGGAAGGGATTGAGTACTGATTTTCAGCAACTGTATTCAAAACGATTCTGAAATATTTGACTCTGAAATTTCATGTTGACTGTCTCAATTAAAAAGTGGAATACACAGAATAAAACTAAACAGCAACAAACAACAACAGTTGGTATTGCACTAGCACCACAGGTTGATTCACTACAATATCAAGGACAACAAAAAAAACTTTACCAAAGCATCACAGAGTAGGCATCAATGATCCTTGCAGTGCAGGTTGTATTTGGAGGCTTCAGAGCCCCAAATATAAATGAGCTGCAGGCAAGCACAGGTGAGCCACCCTGCTTTAGGTGGATATGTGGAAAGCTAAACTTTGGACCTTTTACATCAAAAAGCATTCCCTCTATTACTCAACATCTTTCCAAACTCCTCAAATTGAAATCTTGGGGGGGGGGGGAACAAACAGAAAAATCTGTTGTGTTTCTGGGCTGAATACCAACATCATCTAGCAGTATCATCTGTCTTCAAATTTATGTCACTGGGCTGCTTTGCAATTAGGGGAAAGTCCAAATCAGCAGCAATTATAGTTTATTTGGGTAAACAGATGACATTCCCAGTAGCAATGGAGGAAGGAGGTTAATAGGGAATGGAGCTAATTCATTGAACAACCAGTTTCATCCATCAGGCACTAATAACAAAACTGAGCCATGACTATCCAGCTAGGTCTGTCAGTGGAGACTGGAACCAATCAACAGAACTATCCATGACAACATGAGCTTCAGAACTCAGGGATGGAAGAGTTTTGTACAAAGAGCATCAAACTTTTCTCAGACCGAAGAGCACATCCCAAACCCATTAAGACAGTGATAATCAGGTATTTGAAGCAAAGCAAAAATATATTCAAGTATATGTAACACAGTTAATGAGTGTATAGTTAATGAGTATTGTTCTACCATAGTCAAAGTTATATTTTAGTGACAAACCTTGGAGGGAATTTCATCCATGGTATTGGGACTATTTGTGGCTGACCTAATCAGCTGCTACTGAGGAGGAAAGCTCTCATCCCCCATGGAGGAGCAACACAAAACTTCAGATCTTCCATTCATGGTCTTTGTTAGAACCTGCCAAGTGATGCTTTCACTATCTTTCCTTAAAAAATGACTTGTGTGAAAGCCTGATCAAAATTAATACAACTGCAGATGAAATGATTTTGGTCCTTTCCCCATCTTGTGTGTCTTTGTAGATAAAAAGTAAAATTAACAGAGAAATGAAGATCCTTGAACAGACCAATTTGTCTTGAGGCCAGCAGGAGGTAGAGAGAATTAATTCTCTGTTAACACCTTATCTCCGATTGCATGGCACAGCTAACTACAAGGAGTCTCTTTACTCCCAAACAATCTCATGTGTAGGAAGTGGCAGGGACAGAACTGTAGTTAAAAGTATTTAGAGGGCAACATGTTCCCTTCCAATCCTCACAACTTAATCCACAAAATAAATTATAAAGGTCAGCCAATATTAGATCTACCACATCAAATTTTGTTTAGCATTTAAAAAAAACAATGCTTAGGCAATATTTTTGTTTTAATGTAATAAATCCTTCATGTTGATGTGGATTTTCTTCAACAATTGTGTGGAAATGGCTTGCTGTTGCTTCCTACAATATATACAACATTATTTTAATGTTACAGTCTAGATTTTTGCCCTGCTAATTTCTGTTGATTACCTGTCCATGTCCAGATCAGCTATAACCATACTTAGCTTTTCAAAATTAGCCCAAATCAACTAGCTCCTACCAACTAAAGTCCTAATATTGTGAAAATTATGCACTTGGCAAAATAATCCACAAAAGTGGCTGATGCTTAGCCTTTAGAAAATAAATTTAAGTTCTGCATGATGTTCTTATGATTTCAGGATACAATGAAAGAAGGATTGATGCCATTTCCATTTAATATGAACTCTGAAAATTCATCCCAGTTCTGGAATATCAGAAAAATACAGTGATTTCTCAACAAGTGTAGTAAGATCATATAGGCAGAGAATCAACATACTACTTTGGGAATTCTAGAATCTGAGGGGTTTAAGTGTAAGAAAATATTTATTTTATTCAAATTTATTAGCCACCCAAATACAATGGACTCTAGATTACAAAACCAAAAAAAATCCATAAAAATGATAAAACATCAAACCACACAGGCAGCACAGATTAAAATGATCTTATAAACAAGACAAATCAAACAAAATGGTGCCCTCAGAATATTTTAATACCTTAATTTGATACAACCACAAAAAACCAAAAGGATAGCTGTGTTGGTTCTTGAGAACAAAAAATCCCAAAAATGCATAATTGTGTTTTTTAGCACTGATCGGAAGTGCATACCGGTAGTATTTTCCAGAATTGTTTCATGAGACAAGCTTATTTTGTGCCAATTTGTTTGGCTCTCATGAAGTTGCTGAACTGAAAGATTATTAAATGGTCTGCAGCTGGGCACTGAACGCCTGATAAGAGCTGAACAAGTTACTAGGCAAAATGACCATTGCCCAGTGGGGAATCCTGCCCAACATCCAGGCCATCCTGCTATTCAAGAAGATTGAGACCCGCAAAGTGAAAAAATCAGGCAAGTGACTATGGATGTCTGCCAGATGCCTTGGATTGCAGGTGACTGCAGAATGTTCTGGGCTGACCTGTTAAGATGCTGTGACTAGGTTCTTTGTCTGGGTGGAAGCTGACTTTAAGGAAAGTTTTGGCTGGATAGTAGTTACTGCAACCAGGCATCTCTAACTGGGGTTGAAAGCATGAGGGTTTAGGAGGGAGCAACAGCAAAGTGGCAGGCTACTGTGGAGTCATTTCACCCACAGATGTAACTTTTGCCTGTCCTCCAGATAGCCCTGAGAGGAGAAAAAATAAGAAGGAAAGAAAAGAACAAAGTGACTCCACCTGTATTGAATGCCCTGCCAAATGGTCTTGATTCTTCTC